CCCCTGAGACAGCTAGTTCTTTAGGTGTATACAAGCTAGAAAAACTGTATGAAGATTCTTGTACAAAGATAAATGCTATCCCAAATCCAAACAGATACAAGTACTATCTTAAAGCAAGAACCAAGGATCTGGATGGGCACAAGATGGTGCAAGAAACATGTTACACAGCTACTGGGCAGATCTCAAACCTGTTTCTTCTTGCTACTAGAGGTTTACTTGCAGCAAGGTTGCATAAAGAAAAAAGCATGCTTAGAGAAGGAAAACCACTAACCACGGACTTCCAGTTTCCAAAGAACAGAAAAACTCAGCAGTCACTCAATTACCCCTTCTTCCTAAAGCATACATTAAAGGAGACAGTTTTTCTCTGGGATCAATTGCAAGTATCAAATATTTGCAACGGGGTGCAGTTGCACACTTGCAAGCAGTAAGCTGTCAGATGCAAGCAGCTTCCTTCTGTAACTTCACCCTGTAACTTATACAGATACAAGATAGCTCTTAAACGGACCAAATCCTTTTCAATCATTTTCCTACAGTTACCACCTCTGTAAGTTCACATAAAACAGGGAGAACACCTACCCATTAGCTATTTGTGAGATGAACTTCATGTCAGCTATTATAGAATCTACAGGCTAGAAACCACCCAGGATATGCAAGTCTAGTACAGAAAAAGCCAACACTACTTCTAGGGTTACACTTTTCACTTACTCCCCAGACTCTGAATGGCCAAGTCAAGTTTAAAAAAGGTTCAAATGCCTACTCCAAACAGAACCAAGCTAACTTTTACTCTCCAGAAAAGACCCAGCTACAGCAGACACAGTCAGCTGTATGATGCTAGAGAAGAAAGCCGTAGAAGGTTAACAGGTTAGCATTTATAAGCCCAGCCTCAGTTGCACAGGGAAGATGATTTATTTATCTCATAGTCTCTCTTTAGCTTCATGGTTTAAACTGAGAGAACGTTACCACCTCCAACAGATACAATTCAAAGACACAGAACTACTAGGTTATGGGCTTATCAGAATAATAGTAAAAAAGAGAAAGAGAGAGAGAGAGAGAGAGACACACACACACACAATATTCAGTGCTCCAGTAACAAATCAATATTGCAAAAGGCTCTGGGACTAGTTAATGAAAGCCCCTGTGACAGCAACCAGAGAAGCGGTATTCAGTACGTATCGTGACATAGTAGTTATGATTACCGCAATGTGGATGGGCAAAGCATCACCTTGAAATGCTAGGGTAAACAACCTGGGAGAGCTTAAAACAAATAGAGCAGGGAACCAAAAGAGAGAAGTAAAGATAAGAGGAGGAAAAAGTCTAGATTTAGTGATTAAAATAAAAGCTCAATACTCAGCATAGACTATGTAGAGGTGCTCAAGGTACAGTAAATTCCCCTTGCTCACATAGCTTTCTAAACATTAATAGGTATTGAGGCCAAGTTCCTTGAAGTTACACAAAACATAAGTCATTAGACTTCTATGCATTCTTACCCCACTGCGTGGGTCAGTTAACAACACTTAAAAATAACTAGGCTGAAGATGTCCTCGTACATTTTCACAGATAACTGTTTCAGTGACAGGACTTGTTGCTCAAGCACAAACAAGCACCACCCTTGTCAGGGGATGAGCAGTACCCACAAAGGTCTCTATGCAGACTACAGTGCTAGACAGGATTCATTCAGATGTGGCATAAGCTGCTACTTCATTTCCCAAGAACACTTCAGCTCAATACCTGGGAATGCTTCTGCTCCCTCCTGCTATCTGGAGCACAGCGAATTCCAGCTGAGCTCAGATCTCCACTGCTGGAAGAGGGTTAGGAGACACTTACAAAAAGCTTAAAGCTTGCACTACTTCACATGTGCCTCTGTAAAACGAAATGCTTTTCAGTGCACTACAACAGGCTTAGAAACAAAAGGCAAGTCCACGTATGCCCATGACATAACGGGCAGGGAGCAGGGGCACTTCTCTCCAAGTAACGTAACACAAGTCCTCAAAGCCAGCTGAATTACTTCTGGAATTCCTGCCACTCTACCAGCCAAGTAAGGCTGCAAATCACACATCCCTCAGCTCCACCCCCCCATCCCCCCTTTAATGCCAGGAGCAGAAGAAACAAATGTGAAAGCAGAAAAGAGAACCTGTTTCCAGAAATTGAAGGACCAATTATTACACTACTGCTAACTAAAAGCAACAGACATTCCTCCACAAGGATCATACAGCTTTACAAGTTCACTTCTAAACTCTGTGCACTAGTCATCTTCCAGCTGCAAAGCTGAAAAATTTAACTGCATCCAGGAAGGCTGATTAGCCCACAAAAGGAAATGAATAACGCTATATTCAACTGAAATTCCTTAGGCATCCAGGAGAAGTGATGGAAGTGGGAGGGAAAAAAAAAAAAACAGAGCAGGAAATAGCGCGAAGGAAAAGCAAAGAGACATAATCAATATAACAGGTCTGCCAAGTCCCGCAGGCCGGGAGGAGCGTTGTAGAGA